AATCACGGTTTTAGGTGCAATAATGAATTTTGGGTTGATATATTCGCTTTTTACAAAGAGCCATCATCAGGGTAGTTCTCTCCAACAATGCTTAGCAGTGAGCTTTCTTTTGAAATCACTGAACGAAGGCGAACCCTTAAAACAATTGTTTTAAGCCACAGATAGGAGGATTTAATTTCATTTACATGTATCACAAATGCAGTTTTGAAGATAATTGTTATAGGTTCTGCATAAATCGTGTTAAAATTTTATTTTAACAAAACAAATATTGCTCAACTATCCATAAAAAATCACTAGCTTTTGTTAAGTTCTCTTACGCTTTGATGGCCATCAAAATAGAGTATTTAAAGATGTCAGCTCTTCTAACGCAAGTTTCGTTTATTGCTTTTGTTCCAGATTGAAGATCGGCTAAAATTTTTTGAAACTGGCGAGGTGCCTAAGAAAAACGCTGAAGTCATGAAGGAGGCCATTGCGGAGGCTCGAGTTCTACAAGTGATTGCTTACTGCGACGCGTTAAAATTTTGCGTTACAAGCATTTTGTGTATCTAGGCAAAAATCTTGAAGAAGCGAAAGAAACGAATGCTCAAGGAGGCGGCAATAAAGGAGCAGCAAGAAAAAATGATGATGCTCAAAAGCGAGGAGGTATGCAGCCTTTTGTCGGCCTTTACATTCGTTGAAACAATGCATTTTAAAGCCTACGAAGTTGAAAAAGAAGCACAAACACCAGCTACTAGATACTTTGGAGATGAAAACCGACGATTCCACCCTCGACGTTACTCAGGAAAATGAAACGCTTAACTCAAGCCTGGTAGATTTTACAGTATTGCTATCGACGAAGCCAGAATCGCTTACCTCTTAATTGATTTTAGGAAGTTAAAACGAAAAAGAAGAAAAAAAAGTCTAAAGATGTTAATGGTGACGTGACAGAACTTGTTCCAAGCAGTATTGAGTTACATACAGGTAATACTTGCTAACAGGTAATATTTAGCATTCTTTCAATGAATAGCATAACTGGTAATCAGTTAGAATGCTCTCCTATGCTGGAATTCCTTCAGTATATACTCGGTTTCTGTGTTTTAAATCAAATGCTCACAAAAAAGTTAATTTTATTCAATCCCATATAGTTTCTATTTGCGCTTCAGCGAGGTTTCCGTTCAGTAAATAATTCCTTGGGCTTATTCCATTGAGACGCAAATTATCAGGAAACCTGAGGAGGAGTTAATTTTAGATGTTGAAGATACAATTTGTAAGTTCCCTTCATTGGCAAAAATTTTTCATAGCTAGGTATTCCATTTATGGAGAAATTAACATCACGTTGCGATGTAATAGGTCATGAAACTGGTAGTCTGTTGCTGATCCGTTTCAAAATTGAAAGTATGATGCTTTGCTGCAATAATGCCGGAGCACCAAATACGTGCTTTTTGATATAAGGAAAAGTTTTGACGATGTTGTAATATTGCTCTTAAACTTACACGATGGGTCCAATTCTAGCACCCTAGTTTTTTCTGCAGTTCATAGTGGGGGCGCTGATCTGCATTTCTGTCATCAGCCTTGACGGCCTTATTTTTAAAAGCAGAATCGACAGCAACTACATTGACAAGCGTAGTTTGTATTCTCCTGGTTTTGAGTGGTCTTAACTTGTCAGCCTCTGAAAGAAAAAAGGTGAGCGACTCTGACCGGAGACTCAACCCGGGACCTTTCGGCTCTGTGGTTCTACTGACTTTGTAATCTCGGTTTGAAGCAACTTGTAAATTCCTTACTCAGGAGATTTCTTGTTAAAAACAAAAATGACTGCTGTTCGAATCGAAGTTTGATGCCGACGTATTGCGCACTATGCCACAACACTACTTGCTTGATATATGCGATTGTTTGCGTGTTGACTATGAGCATGTAAAGCTCACAACCTACACGGTTCATTTTTGTAGTTGAACAAATGTTTAAATTGTTTACTAGCTACAGTTGATCTCAATAGTCAAGTTAGATCGCACCTTACTGATCATCATATCAGTAGTTGCACTGAACAATGTCAGTTTAAGTGATATGTATATATTCATAGTAATTTAGTAAGAGTTTACCATAAGGGTATATTGTTGTCATTATGTCCTAAGATTAGCAGATTTTGAAATGAATATCACAGATTTATTGTCTGACCATTACAGATGATGTCAAAGTTACATCAGGCAAAGTTTATTGCTACCACCAAATCTGGAGCCGAATTTGATCATTGAAATGTATACATTTTTGTGCAGCAGTCAAAATTGCTTTCTACTTTCTGTTTGAATATGGCAGGTGACCGAAAGAAACTGTTGATTATAGTATATAGTAATATAATGGATTGACATTCCGCCAAATCTTTATGTTAGATTCAGCAAGGATCTCACGGACCTCCTTGGTATTATTTACCGTAATATAGAGTTCATGACCCTATTAGACTTGAACAGAACTAACATCGGTCTTGCTATCTTGTAAAACGCACTTGAATGCATTGTTTACTTGATCATAAAATTTAACAAAATAGTGGATTTAATCGTTTGTATGTGAACCGTTTTATTTCAGAAATCGGCGAAAAGAGAAAGAAGCGAAAGCGTGAAAAATATGAAGACTCTTCAATTGCTGATGACCTGAGTTTTATCGCGGTCACCCCTGAAGTCAAGGTGTCAACAAAGAAGAAAAATCGAAAGAAGACGGTGGAAATGAATTGACCAATGTTCAACAACCGTGCTTGAAGTGAGCGGTCAAGCCATCTTACTTCGGCATTTTTACCCCTGTTTACTTGTGAAATAAAAACCTTGGCTGTCTGTTTGACTCTGTCCTCAACATTTTCTAGCCTTGCTGCCAGCCGGAATGCATAATGCTAGATAATTGGTTTATAAGGATTACAAAATTCCTGGAATACAAAGTTCGCATTCTTAGCTGGCTCATTTTATCATTAGCTTCTATGCAAAAAGGATTGATGCCGATATAGAACTCATGCACCGGTTCTGCGAACGAAGAACGTAATTGTCGGTTAACCCGTTTGGCAAATAATTTTGCAGCACTCCACACAAGCCGTAAATTTTTAGATGTTCTTCGGGTTTAGATGGTCGTTAGATCATTCTTTGCATTCAGCATTTGTTCCCTGAGCATTCAGAAAACTGGATCTTCAATCATTATACGATTCCATTGGCAGTGTGACGTCTACTCCTCTTCAGAGTATACGGTAGTATCTTCATGGTTTGGTCCCAGTATCTGCAGTACATTCTAATGCCCATTAAATTTAAAATTATGCCCTTTAAAATCTGCAGAATGAAATAAAGTCCATTTCTCCTACACAATTTTATGCTATGCCAATAATATTTTTTTTCGCAAAAAAATATCAGAAACGAAAAGTAGTATGTACATATCACCGTGCAAGCTAATAGCATGGCATGGTACTTCGATTTCTAGACTTAAAAAATTAACAAACAATAATCTAAAAATTGAGTAAGTAAATAAATCGTTTAATGAACCAACAGAGCTATAAACGCGCAAAACCATCGTAATGGATGCAGTCGAACTTTTTCAATGATCTAAGAATTTGAGATAAAATATTTTCTGTATTTAAGATATGCGGTAAAATTTTGCCCGTGAATGCATAAAAGCGGCTACAAAGGATAGTTCTCTACGAAGTACCGATGGATCAACTTACGAAGCGCAGCAATTTGCACGTGTACCATCGTATGATCCATTTATTGATCATTTGCTCTTATCCAAGCCCCATGGCCGAGAATGGGCATTTCTGTCTGATAGTCGTTATGGATCAATTGGTGTGTTGATACAGTGTGCGAGTGCCCTATCAGGGATTTAATTCCAATAAATATGCAACCAATCTTTTCACTGAATAAAACAGGAAAAGCCGAAGCGCATTTGTAGTCTGCAAGAGATTTAATACAGATGCACTAAAAAAAGTCGACAGTTCGAGTAATATTGTTACGCAGCGCTACAGGATGTAGGGATATACAAGGCAACAGAGCCAAATGAAGAAGATGATTTATGTCACAGAGAATGCCGGTGCTCAAGTCTAAGCAAGCTTCAAATCGTTTTGTATGAGCAATATGACAAACCTTGAG